GCCTCTAGGCTCGTCCGCTATGATTGTTGGTCGTCGATTTAAAAAAAAGTAACGGAAAAGTAACGAAAAGTTACTTTCTCAAGTAACGGTAACTGTAATGAGTTACTTTTAAAAATCGGTAACTAGTAACGGTAACTTGTTACTTTTCCTACTCGGTAACGAGTAACTGTAACTTGTTACTTTTAAAAAGTAACTTTCCATTCCCTGAATATATATCATAATGATTAACTAAATACATATATCATGTATATGTTTCGACATATCGTCGAAATTAAAATCATTCAATAGAAAGTTACTAGTTAATACCCGTATCAAGTGCACGATGTAAACTAATCCATACCTTAGGTCTGTTCGCACTTTTTGCTCTCGGCATCTTCGTTTTCTCTCTTTTCAAAGCGAAATATATATCTATCTCATTTTAAGTGCAAAAATATTTGGGGATTTCATGCAACCCGAACAGACCTCTTATATTCTTATATCATGGCCGTTCCAAAGTCTATTGTTGGATTCACACTGTATCCGATGTGCATGGATTTTGCTTCGTATCATCGGAATCCTGTTTTCTGATTGGTTGCAGATAGTCGTACGACGCAAATCGGATGCAGTGTGAATCCGGCATATGTCTTTGGGCCGTTCATCTATCTCACCGTTTACTTTCTGATATTACTCCGGCCATTCCACGAAAGAACATGGAAGAACGTAAATGTTGAAGGATCTTGTCATTTTGTCGTGTTGCTGATCCTTTAAAACGGTACGAGTCCGAGACGAAGCAACGCATACAAAATTTCGGACGAAATTAAGTCGTCGTTACTCTGAAGTATGGCAGAGTATCTCGACTCTGAAGCGGACGTGAGCGAGGTAAAGTATTTTCTTTCCATTTTCTCGCCACGGGAAATCCTATGCAAAAATCTTGTACGACGAAGCGCTGCAACGACGTTTGGTGCTAATAACGTGTGCGATTGTATTACAGGGTGAAGAGGAGTTGGACCAGAATGAGAAGAAAAAACTGAGGAAGTTGAAGGCGGTAGAGGAGAGCGATGACGAGGAGGAAGGTAAGGAAAGTCGGCGCAAGCCTTTCGCGGTTTTTTTATGTACATGATTCTTGACAGATACCGATTCATTGATGATAAACTGTTCCAATTATTTCGTAGTTTGCTGTTTTTTATTGGACATGGAACCTCTAAAATCCACTCTAAAAGTAATTGTTAATTTTTATTTAGTATTCTCGGAATATTTCGTTTATTCTCCTTTTCCTGTTTTTTCTGATTTTCTCTTATCTCTTTGTTATCCTGATTTATTTGTTCCCTTTCCCTTTTCTGCTTTATTATCTGCTTTTTTTTTAAATTTATTATTACACTCAATAAGAATTTTTTAACAAACCTGTTTAAAGTTATTTTTATTATTTATTAATAATTAGTTTAATGTTCTGATATATACTATCAGTATTGAAAATTTTTGGTTTATGTTATGTATACTATAAATTTTCAGTACTGGCAGTATTCAAAACAGAGCCTCAGAGAGATTTCTTTTACTAATGTTAAAAAATTCTTAATTTATATATAAAAAGTTTTGTATAAAAATACCTAAGTAAGTAGGATAGAATATTTCAACATTGCTGAATGCAGATGGCATGGAACACTCTAGTAATGTTACTGGAATGTTCCATACTACGTGAATGAAATAAAAATTAAGATGCATTTTCACTAGCCATTCAAACTGACCGTTTCAATGACAAAAAAGATGAAGTAATGACTTTTTGTCACAGAACTATTAGAGCAAAATCTCAAATTATTATTAGCAATTAAGTTATTCTAACTGCACTGAATTCTTTCATCTGGATCAGCCGTGAAGGAAAAGATTAGGTTACATATATCGTGGTAAACGCTGATCAATCTGATGCAGCAGCACCATCAACTGTGTTTGAATGTTTGACGCTTGTACTACAAAATTTTAGCCGCTGGAATAGCAGCACATGAAATGTACCTTCAAGTTGCTAGAGAAAAAAATTGTCTAAATGATTTTAAAAGTAGAAGACTCAAAGAACTTGTAATATAAAATTGTTTTATTTGATGTTGCAAAAAGCATTGCAAGCATTGCTTTGTTTGATGATGCTTTATTTACAATTTACATTATATTTACAATATAGATATTATCTTGTGTTGAGTAAATAATAAAATTGAATGTTTATGGAGATTTTCTGATTATTAGTTTCTTATCTTGCATATTTCCACTTTCATAAAAATGTTCATTATTATTTTAAGCTTATATATTTTTTTAACTTTTTAAATGCTTAATATATCTTGTTTTTCATGTTTAACTTTAAAAGTGTTAAACAAAATTTAAGTAGTATTAAGTGACATTCTGTAATTGAATGTGTCTTTTAAAAAGAAGTGATTTATATTTTGTGTTATATCAAATGGAGGCTTTTAAAAATAGATTAGAGCAAAAAAATGGAATACTATTTGAAAAAACATTTTTTTCCCCACTGCCAGGTTTTTTCTTAGGAAAATAATACTAAAGGGTCCTCTACATAGAAGTCGTAGATGGTTGTGGAGTCTACAACTTCTATGTAGAGGACCCTTAATCTATATCCATGATGTACAGCATTAAAACATACTATATACATATATTTTATAAATAATAAGGATCAATAAACATTGCTATTATTCTTTTTATATGTGTAACCCAGATTAATTAGATTAGCTTCTAATACATTATATGTAATATTAATTTTTTTAATTGTTATTTATTTACATACTTATGTATGTATCTGTATGTATAGTGTACAATATATATATATATATAAACATATTTTGATCAGTGAATACGTGGATCATTTTTTTTTCTGTTTCTATTTTATTCTTTTTATATGTATACTTAGTTAATTAAAAAAGATTTACTTCTAATACATCATATTTAATTTATATTAATTTTCGAAATTGTAATTTATTTGTATATGTACATATGTATACATATGTGTGCAACATTGATATGATATATTTTATAGATGATGAGGATCAGTTGCGCGAGGAACTGAAAGATTTGATAGACGACAATCCTATAGAGGAAAGCGAAGGTGAAGACAGTGACGGTTCTAATCATCATAAGAAGCGTAAGAAAAGTGATGATGAGGATTTTGATGATCGCTTGGAAGATGAAGATTACGATCTGATTGAAGAAAATTTAGGCGTTAAGCTTGAAAGAGTATGCTTCTATACATCTTGGATTATTCTTAAAAAAATAGAGAGAATGTTAATTAAACAATATTAAATATTTTACTTTGCGTTACAGAAACGTTTTAAACGTCTTCGAAGAATCCAAGATGAGGAATCAGAGGAAGAACAAGAAAAAGAAGCAGATGAAGAAAGGGACGCTATTGCCAATGAATTGTTTGAAGGTTCCGGAGATGTAAGTTACATAAATATATTAAATTCGACACAGTATTAATTTTGGGAAAATGCTTAAAAATTTACATAACATATTGTCTGCAATATTCGTCTGTAATGTATACTTTGTTGCTTTTTGTCGAATTCTTATTTTATATACATAAATTATATAAATATAAATGCGTGTCTATGTATATGTGTCACATCTGCATTTGTTAAATATACATGCATACTTATATTAGGAAAGGGATGTTATTACGGTATGTAATGCTTTTGTAAGGTCTGCGATATACAAAAGTGTAGTATTTTTATTTATTTCTTTGTGTTGCTTTTAGGAGGACGAAAGACGGAGTGAACGAAGTCATAGGCCGGAGGCGGATACCTTTGAGGAAGGTAGTGACGAAGGCGAATACACTGATGCGGATGATTTTATTGTTGACGATGATGGTAGACCTATCGCAGAGAAAAGGAAGAAAAAGAAGCCAATATTTTCTGATGCGTACGTTGTGATATTTAATGACTTTTTAAAATGTCTTATAATATCTATATATTAACTATCTATCTATTAGCATAAGTTAAATTTACGTTATTCAGATAAAAAAGAAAATATCTTTTTTTTGTCTATAGAGCATTGCAAGAAGCACAGGACATTTTTGGTGTTGATTTTGATTATGATGAATTCGGTAAATATGGCGAAGAGGATTATGAAGAAGAAGAGGAAGAAGAAGAGGATGAATACATGGATGAAGATGCTGATACTGAACGGCCGCGGCGACCAAAGAAGCAGTTGAAGAAAAAGACCACAAGAAAGAGTATCTTCGAGATTTACGAGCCTAGTGAATTGAAACGCGGTCACTTTACTGATATGGATAATGAGGTACGACATAATAATATGTAGTAATGCTAAACAACAATTATCAGCGGTGTTGCGTAAATATAACAGTATTTTTTATATTGAATTTGAATACATTTCTTTTTACACTATTGTCTTTAAAAGTATTATAATATAAACAACGAATCAGCGGTATTGGGTAAATGTAACATATTTCTTTTACAAATCTTAAAATTGAATTTTTTAATATTTAGTTTTTCTATATTTTACATAGTTTTCGAAAATATTACAATATAGAGAAGAGAGAGAAGAGTGTATTATAATACAAAAAGTTTTAAATTTCTATATTGAGATATAAGAATTAATAATTAAATTTGGATTATAATACAGAAATTTTGTATTACATCTTTAAATTTAACACAAAAAATATATGTGGGAAGTACATACAAATAGTAACAATGTTTTATCACTTTAAAATACGATAAACATTGTATATTTATAAATAGCTACATTGTTTCCAAATCTATCACTTATGACATTTGTTTCAAAATTGCAGATACGTAATACAGATATACCAGAAAGAATGCAACTTAGATCTGTACCAGTCACATCAGTTCAGGAAGGTTCTGATGAACTGGATCTCGAAGCAGAATGGATCTATAAGCAAGCATTCTGCAAGCCTACAGTCTCCATTCAGGATGCCCACTTGAATGCTGAGGCTAAGGAACGGGCACGAAAAGGACCACAGACTATCGGCAAGATCAAGAAAGCCTTGGACTTTATGCGCAATCAACATTTTGAAGTCCCTTTTATATCTTTCTATAGAAAGGAGTATGTGCTGCCCGAGTTGAACATTAATGACTTGTGGAAAGTTTATAAGTTTGACGCGAAATGGTGTCAGTTGAGCCAACGGAAAGAGAACCTGCTCAAACTATTTGATAAGATGCGCAATTATCAACTGGATGAAATCATGAAGAATCCGGACGCTCCGTTGCCAGATAACGTGCGAGTGATCAAAGACGACGACATTGAGCGACTGAAGAATGTGCAGACAAGTGAAGAGCTCAATGATGTCTATAATCATTTCATGTTGTATTATAGTCACGAGATTCAGGCGATGCAGGAATCCGTGCGACAGAAGGAGAAGCAGGCACGACGTGAAGAGAGGATTCAGCGACGTAAACAACAAATTGCTGAGGCAGAAGAAAATGGAGAGGATCCGCCGGAGGAGGAAGAAATACCGGAGGAAGAAGAAGTCGACGATACGCTGAAGCAAGCTGTTAGAAGCGGCCCATACTCAATCTGTCGGAAGGCCGGTTTGGATGGTCTGGCGAAGAAGTTTGGCTTAACACCCGAACACTACGCCGAGAATCTGCGTGATAATTATCAGCGTCACGAGGTAGATCAGGAGCCGACCGAACCGACGACAATTGCGACTGAGTATTCTAGTTCGCGATTTAAGACCGCGGAAGAAGTATTGAAGGCTGCTCAGCTGATGGTGGCGATTCAGGTGGCACGCGAGCCGCTCGTGCGTAAATGCGTGCGCGAGATGTACATGGAACGTGCTAAGATGTCCGTGAAGCCAACGAAGAAGGGCATTAAAGAGATCGACGAGAATCATCCAATCTACACAATGAAATATCTGAAGGACAAGCCGGTGCGTGATCTAGTAGGCGTTCAATTCTTAAATCTGATGATTGCTGAGGAGGACAAACTCATTACGATTACACTCAGTGATGCTATTGAGGGCAACACCAGCAATAACTATGTCGATGAAATGAAGCAGCTCTATTGCCGTGATGAGTTCAGCAAACTCGTACAAGATTGGAATGCCTTGCGTGTAGGCAGCGTCGAAATCGCCCTTAATCGCATGGTAATACCACATCTAAAGAAAGAGTTGAGCGCGAATTTAATCGCTGAGGCGAAGGAATGCGTGATGCGCTCGTGTTGCCGCAAGATGTACAATTGGATCAAG